TCTCACCCCAACAAGGCTAGCATTAATCCAAAAAATAAAACAATCAATGCTGGAGAGGTTATGGAGAGACTGGAACACTTATACACTGCTGGTGGGAATGTAAAATGGTACAACCACTTTGGAAATCGATTCGGCACTTCCTTAAAAAGCTAGAAATAGAAGTACCATATGATCCAGCAATCCCACTGCTTGGAATATATCCTAGAGAAATAAGAGCCTTCACACAAATAGACATATGCACACCCATGTTCAGTGCAGCACTGTTCACAATAGCAAAAAGATGGAAACAACCTAGGTGCCCATCAAAGGACGAACGGATAAGCAAACTAAGGTATATTCACACAATGGAACACTACACAATGATAAATAACAACGATGAATCCACGAAACATCTCATAACATGGATGAATCTGGAAGGCATTATACTGAGTGAAATTAGTCAGTCGCAAAAGGACAAATACTGTCTGAGACCACTATTATAAGAACTCAAGAAAAGGTTTAAACACAGAAGAAAACATTCTTTGATAGTTACCAGGGTAAGGAGGGAGGGAGACGGGAATTCCCTAACTAGATAGTAAACAAGAATTATCTTAGGTGAAGGGAAGGACAACACACTATACAGGGTAATTCAGCACAACTGGACTGAACCAAAAGCTAAGAAGTTTCCTGAACACAACCAAATACTCTGAAGGACAGAGAAGCAGAGGCAGGGGTCTGGGGACCATGGTTTCGTGAACATCTAGGTCAACTGCCATAACAAAGTTTATTAAGAAAATGTTCTGCATCCCACTTTGGTGAGTGGCGTCTGGGGTCTTAAAAGCTAGCGAGCGGCCATCTAAGATTAATCAATTTGACCCAACCCACCTGAAGCAAAGGAGAATGAAGAACATCAAAGACGCAACGAAAATATTAGCCTAAGAGACAAAGAGGACCACATAAACCAGAGACTCCGTCAGCCTGAGCCCAGAAGAACTAGATGGTGCCTGGCTACCACCAATGACCGCCCTGACAAGAAACACAACAGAGAGTCCCTGACGGAGCAAGAGAAAAGTGGGGTACAGAATTCAAATTCATTTAAAATATCAGACTTAATGGTCTGACTGAGACTGGAGGAACCCCAGAAGGCCATGGCCTCCAGCCTCTGTGTTAACCCAGAACTAAAACCATTTCCGAAGCCAACTCTTCAGACAAAGATTAGACTGGACATAAGATATAAAATGATAAACGTAAAGAGTGTGCTTCTTAGTTCAAGTAGATACATGAGACTAAATGGGCAGCTCCTGTCCGGAGGTGAGATGAGAAGGCAGAAAGGGATAGAAGCTGGTTGAATGGACACAGGGAATCCAGGGTGGAAACAGGAGTGTGCTGTCACATTACAGGGACAGCATCTAGGATCACATAACAATGTGTGTATAAATTTTTATATGAGAAACTAACTTGAGCTATAAACTTTCACTTAAAGCACAATAAAAAAGTAAATATAAAAAGAAATTAGTGATAGGTACGTAGAACTACAATTCTAAATGACTTTGAATACTTTCCTGCAGTAATGCATCATTTGTGTTTTATAATTCACTAATGAGGAGTCTTCGTGGTGCAACGGTTAAGCTCTTGGCTGCTAACCAAAAGATTGGTAGTTCAAACCCACCCAGCGGCTCTGTGGGGGAAAGACCTGGCAATCTGCTCCTGTAAAGATAACAACCTAGAAAACCCTATAGGACAGTTCTACTTTGTCACATGGGGTTGCTATGAGTCAAAACTGACTCAAGGGTACCTAACAACAACGTTTTAATGAGTAGTCTAGATCACAACAAAGACTAGGCTAGAAGGATTATTGAGACGAGGTGAAAGTAAGGCTTATAGAAAATCATTAAATTTAAATCATTTAAATACTTCAAAAGAACGAAAATGGCCAGTATTGGCAAGAATGAAGAATAAGAATCTCCCATACATTGTTGGGAACATTAACTGATAAAATTTTTTAGACAGCAATCTGGTAATATACCTCAGACTAAAGAAAAATGAATAGATCTTTGAACCAGCAATTCCATGTCTTAGCAATTTAGCCTGCAGACAAGATTGCACAAGTGCATAAAGAAATACTTAAGACTACTGACTGCAACACTGCTGGTAATAATGAAAAACTGAAGGGCAAAAAAAAACTACATGTTTCTTAATACAGCACTAAAAATAAAAATTGAGATAAATGATACAATATATGATTATGCAGGTATTAAAAAGAATGAAATAGCACTAAATGTAATCATTGAAAATCACAGAAAGAGATTAAACAATATATTCTTAATTAAAAGAAAAGTAAAAGTTGCAGAACATTATACATAGTATAATCTAATTATTTTCTAAAAATGCATTCAGGTATGCAGGTATAAGTACTGGGACTGTCTAGAAAAATTCAAATCCAATGCTCACAGAGACAGAATTGGAAAGTGGGCTGGGAGATGTAATGGAGAATTACGTTTGTTTACATACAATTCTAATTTTTTACAACAAGCTTGTCTTATCTCTGTAAAGAGAAGAAATCCTAATTAAATTTTACCTGAACAGTGGTTTCCTGGTAAGGGTGGGGGGATTAGCTGAAAGGGAGTATAAGAGAATTTTCTAAGGTAATGGAAATGTTCTGTATCTTGATAGGGGTGGGTCTTGTCTACATGGTTGTATACATTTGGAAAACTCAACAAACTGTATTCTCAAAATCTGTCCATTTCACTGTGTGCAAATTTCACCTTAAAAAACTGAACAGAATAAGGAGCTTACAAAATCAATTTTTTAACTGCATATATAATAAATGTTTATAGTAAATAATAAATAAAACACAAACGTTACAAGTAAAAATCTCCTTACTCATCCCTTTACTCCCAAGCCAACCTTAGAGTTAACCACTGTTAAAAGCTGAATGTATTATAACTTTCAGACTTTTTTCTAATAGAAAATAAATAAATATCCATACCTATGTTGTTGTTAACCCACCAGCCTGCTCCTGGGAAACCTATGGGGCAGTTCTACTCTGTCCTATAGTTACCTGCCATGAGTCAGCCCCCGATTCATGGTGACTTCTGTACAATGGAACAAAATGCTGCCCAGTCTTGCACCATCCCCATGATAAGTTGTGGATTTGACTGCTGTGAGCCATAGAGTTTTAACTGGCTGGGTTTTGGAAACAGATCACCAGGCCTTTCTACCTAGTCCATTGAAGTCTGGAAGCTCGGCTGCTACCTGCTCAGCATCAAAGTAACACACAAGCCTCCACACTGAGAGATGGGTGGTAGCTATGCATGAAGTGCAATGGCCAGAAATGGACTCCAAGTCTCCCTCACAGAAAGCCATATCTACCACTGAACCGCTATTGCCCCCCTCCATTCATATACAATTGCGTATATTTTTTAATTGCAAAAAGTAATTATCTTAGGAATGCTGCTCAGCAATTTGCTGTTACACTTAACAACTGATCATGAACATCTTCTCTTATCCGTACACACAGTTCTCCCACATTAAAGAATAAACCATAATTTATTGAACCATTGCTCCATTGTTGAACATTTAAGCTACTTTAAGGCCTTAACAAAAAGGGCATTTTTATACTTAAAATTTTTATAGGAGTTAAAAAAAAAATTACATCAGGAGAATGAAAAACACCTAAGACACAAGGACAATATTAGCCCAAGAGACAAAAGGGCCACATAAACCAGAGACTTCATCAGCCTGAGACCAGAAGAACTAGATGGTGCGCAGCTACCACCAATGACCACCCTGATAAGGAACACAACAGAGAGTCCCTGATGGAGCAGGAGAAAAGTGTGGTGCAGAACTCAAATTCATGAAAAAAGACCACACTTAGGGGTCTGACTGAGACTAGAGGAACCCCAGAAGACATGACCCCAGACTCTGTTAACCTAGAACTAAAACCATTCCTGAAGCCCACTCTTCAGACAAGGATTAGACTGGACTATAAAACATAAAATAATACTAGTGAACAGTGTGCTAGTTCAAGTAGATACATGAGACTAATTGGGCAGCTCCTTCCAGAGATGGGATGAGAAGGCAGAAAGGGACAGAAGCTGTTTGAATGGACACGGGAAACCCAGGGTGGAAAGGGGGAATGTGTTGTCACATTACAGGGATTGCAACTAGGGTCACATAACAATATGTGTATAAATTTTTGTGTGAGAAATTAACTTGAGCTGTAAACCTTCACCTAAAGCACCAAAAAAAAAAAAAAAATGCAGTCGATTCTGACTTATGGTGACTCCATGTGTGTCAGAGTAGAACTGTGCTTCATAAGGTTTTCAATATATACTGATATTTTGATAAATCACCAGGTCTTTCTTCTGAGGTACCTCTGGGTAGACTCAAACCACTAATCTTTCCATTAACAGCCAAACGCATTAATCGTTTGCACCACTCAGGGACTCCGTACTGTAACGTGAAATTTTAAAATGCTCCTAGGGAAGAGAACTCCCATAATAATATAAAAGCCTTTTTTTCAATTTTCAAACACACGTCTTCCGAATTCATAAGTGAGTAGAACAATACCTGGCACATAGTAATTTAACACAGTTGTTGAATTAAGGAACAAAATTCTAGAAACATATCAGCTATGGAAGTAGGAAATGTTATTTTGTATCTTTGTTGTAGCTTTAAAAAAAGTCTTAATTTGGCATTGGAACCTTATAATACAAGTAAAAAATTAAAACATGAAGCTTCTCAGAAAGTAAAAAAAATTCAACCACTGAACTAAACGGATCCCAAATGCACTACTCTCAAGGTATTTGGGCCCATGACTAGTCTTTTTTTTTTTTTTTTCTTTGGGGGTAATATTTTCCAGGATACAGTAAAAAAAATCAGCATTTATGAATCTGTGAATGCCTGTTTCTCTATAAGCTGCTAACAATGGAAAAACAGTATTATCAGTAAGCAGTAAAAAAGATCCTTGTAGCAATTTTTTTTTTAAGATATAATTTGAAAATGAAATCGTTACAAACCTAGGTCCAATAACAGGAATGAGTAAGACATCTTGAAGGTCTGGATGCTGAAGAATAGGAACATTTAATCCATTAAACTGCTGTTTAAAATAAACACACAGACAAAACAATCAATATATTTGATACAGCTCAATTTATGGAGCTTTTCAGTATCATTATCTACTAGAGCATGAAGTATGGTTTGGAATACTTTCACTGTTATTCCACAGGATACTATAAGAAAAGTCTCAAAATAACAATGTATTCTCTATAATTTGATTCTAAAGTATCTTGACTTCTTTATAAAGCTTAACTTTGTTTACTGCCTAGCTTTATAAACAAAATGTTTACCCTAAATGGCTTACTTTGAAAACATATCCTGTACAGAATTACACATAGTAATCTTCTAAGAGAAGCTTCTGAATACGACAGCAAACACAGAGGTTATTTCATGCATGTCTAAATACTAATTAATATACAGGCATACCTCGGAGATATTGTGGGTTCAGCTCCAGACCACTGCAATAAAGCAAATATCAAATAAAGCGAGTCACACGAATTTTTTAGTTTCCCAGCGCATATAAAGGTTATGTTTACACTACCGTAGTCCATTAAGCATGCAATAGCATTATGTCTAAAAAAAATCTACATACCTTAATTAAAAAATACTTCATTGCTAAAAAATGCTAACCATCATCTAAGCCTTCGGCAAGTTGTAATTTTCTTGCTGGTGGACAGCCTTGCCCTGATGTTGATGGCTGCTGACTGATCAGGGTGGTGGCTGCTGAAGGTTGGCGTCGCTGTGACAGTTTCTTAAAATAAGACAATGAAGTTTACTGCATCGATTGACTCTTCCTTTCACAAAAGATTTCTCAGTAAATCCTGTCTGACAGCATTTTACCCATAGCAGAACTGCCTTCAAAATTGGAGTCAATCCTCTCAAACTCTGCTGCTGCTTTATCAACCAAGTTTATGTAATATTCTAAGTCCTTTGTTGTCGTTTCAATAATATTCACAGCATCTTCAGAGTCCATCTCAAGAAATTACTCTTTGCTCATCCATAAGAAGCAACTCCTCATCCGTTAAAGTTTTATCACAAGAATGTAGCAATTCAGTCTTATCTTAGGCTCCAGTTCTAATTCTCATTCTCTTGCTATTCCCACCACACCAGCAGTTACTTCCTCCACTGAAGTCCTGAGCCCCTCAAAGTCATCCATGAGGGTTGGAATCAACTTCTTCCAATTCCTGTTAATGTTGATATTTTGACCTCCTCCCATAAATCGCGAATGTTCTTAATGGCATCTAGAAGCTTTTCAAGTTACTTTGCCTAGATCCATCAGAGGAATCACAATCCATGGCAGCTACAGCCTTATGAAATGTATTTCTTAAATAATAATACTCAAAAGTCAAAATGACTCCTTGACCCACGGGCTTCAAAATAGATGTTGTTAGCAGGCATGAAAACATTAATCTCCTTGTACATCGCCATCAGAGCTCTTGGGTGACCAGGTGCATTGTGAACGAGCAGTAATATTTTGAAAGTAATCTTTTTTTTAAGAGCAGTAGGTCTCAAAAGTGGGCTTAAAATTAAAATATTCAGTAAACCGTGTTGTAAACAGACGCGGTTATTAGGGCTTTGTTCTTCATTTATAGAGCACAGGCAGAGTAGATTTAGCATAACTTTTAAGGACCCTAGGATTTTCAGAATAGTAAATGAGTATACTGGCTTCAACTTAAACTCACCAGCTGCATTAGCCCCTAACAAGAGAGTATGCCTGTCCTTCGAAGCTTTGAAGCCAGGCATTGACTTCTCCTCTCTAGCTATGAAAGTCCTAGATAACATCTTCTTCCAATACTAGGCTGTTTCATGTAAATTGAAAATCTGTTGTATAGTGAATTATCATGAATTATCTTAGCTAGATCTTGTGGATAACTTGCTGCTTCTCCTTGCACTTTTATGTTATAGAGATGGCTTCTTTCCTTAAACATCATGAATCAACCTCCACTAGCTTCAAATTCTTCTTCTGCCGCTTCCTCACCTCTCTCAGCCTTCACAGAATTGAAGAGAGTTAGGGCCTCATTCTGGATTAGCGTTTGGCTTAAGGGAATGTTGTGGCTGGTTTGATCTTCTCTCTAGACCACTAAAACTTTCTCCATATCAGCAATAAGGCTGTTTTGCTTTCTTATCATTCGTGTGTTCACTAGAGTGGCACTTTTAATTTCCTTCAAGAACTTTTCCTTTGCATTCACAGCTTGGTTAACCGTCTGGCACAAGAGACCTAGCTCTCAGCCTGTCTTGGCTTTGGACATGCCTTCCTCACTAAGCTTAGTCATTTCTAGCTTTCGATTTAGAACAAGAGACATGCAACTCCTCCTTTCCTTAAACACTTAGAGGCCACTGTAGGGTTATTAATTGGCCTAATCTCAATATTGTCATGTCTCAGGGAGTAGGGAGGCCCGGGGAGAGGGAGAGAGACGGGGAAATCGCTGGTGGGTGGAGCAGTCAGAACACACACAACATTTATTGGTTAAGTTCGCTGTCTTATAAGGCCACTGTCTTATATGGCGCAGTTCATGGTGCCCCAAAACAATTACAACAGTTTAACATCAAAGATCACTGATCACAGATCACCATAACAGATATAATAATAATGAAAACGTTTGAAATATTGCGAGAATTACCAAATTGTGACACAGAGACACAAAGTGAGCACATGCTGCTGGAAAATGGTGCCAATAGACTTGACACAGGGTTGCCACAAACCTTCAATTTGTTTAAAAAACAAAACAAAAAACAGCAGTATCTGCAAAGCTCAATAAAATGAGATATACCTGTACAATATCAACACTGCATGCCCTATCAGTTTTGGTGAGGGAAATAGATGCTTTTGGCAGAAGTTCAGGATTTTCAGATTGCTTAGCTGTCAGAATGGAAACAGGCGCAGGGCCAGTGGTGTGCTGGAGCCAGCTCACACAGGCTCATGAGAGCAATCTTGTGCATCTTTCCCCAAATCCACGGTTATGGTGGTAGCTTGAAATTAACCACAGTGGGAGTATTTACACCATGGAAATCAGCCAACACTACAAATTAAGGCTATTTTTTCTCTAGAAGTGAGTTTGTAAATACGTACCAGCATATCAATAATGCAGGCAGAAAATAGCTGGGCACTCCACAAAGCAGAATAAAAAGCAGCTATACAATGGATGGAGCCCTGGTGGCGCAGTTGTTAAGAGCTCCGCTGCTAACCAAAAGGTCAGCAGTTCGAATCTACTGGCTGCTCCTTGGAAACTTTATGGGGCAGGTCTACTCTGTCCTATAGGGTCACTCTGAGTCAGAATTGATTCAATGGCAACGGGTGGTGGTGGTGTACAATGGATAAAGGTCCCTAGGTGGCACAAACAGTTTGCACTTGACTAGTACTCTAAAGGTTGGTGGTACGAATCCACCCAGCGGTGCCACGGAGAAAAGGCCTAGTGAGCTATTTTATAAAGATTATAGCCAATAAAACCCTATGAAGCAGCTCTACTTTGTAAAACATAGGGTCACCTTGGGTCGGAATCAACTTGAGAGCAATGGGTATGGATAAATGGATGTATGTATGCACAGTGGACTGGATGGCAGGGACTGTGTACCCTGTCAGAGAGTCACATGGAAATATTTGGAAACAAATCTCTGTCATGTATGCCAGGGATTATCAGCTTATTAATTTTCATATTACTACATGCTCTTCTCATAACGTGATCTTCTACAAAAACCTTGAAATTTATAAACTCCATAAATGCACTTAGATTAAATAAACAGAAATAAACGAATCAATGCCAATAATGATTTTCTGAAAATTTCTGAATGTCATATGTAAACTGGTAGCACAGGCTGTGATATACAAATGGTAGCCTTTAAATCATAACATTTGCCTCTGCCTCCTAATTTAAGTACAAATTAGGTAGAAATAGGTCTGTTATATCAACCAGTTACTTATTATAAGAGATTTAATAACTATAACATGCAATTATGAAGTACCCCCTCCGGCATGGGTTCTCCTCCATCTTCCCTTTCTTTGGAGGGAAATCTCAGTGCAAAGTGTGTGAAACAAAAAATGAAAAGCTACTGAAAACAAAAAGTAAGACAATTTAAAGAAGCTAAATCAAATATTATTGTTCTGTTTGGAACTCATAAAATGCCATTTCATAATGCTACTTCACTTACAGAAGAGTAGTATATCAAAACTATTTCATTGATTGAACAAAAAAATGCTTTGTACTGTTTTATTTAAAAACATATTCTCGTCTTCTCAATAAATGGTGCTGGGACAACTGGATATCTATATGCAAAAAAAAGAAGTTAAACCCATAACTCATGTCATACAAAAATTAACTCAAAATGGACCAACAATCTAAGTACAAAAACTAAAACATAAGACTCCTAGAAAAAAACATAGGGGTAAGGCTTCTATGTTTTGGACCTTGTATTTGGCAATGGATTCTTAGATATGACAGCAAAAACACGGGTAACGAAAGAAAAAATAGATAAAACTGGACTTCATCAAAATAAAAAAGAATAGAAAACTTTTGTGTATCAAGGACATTATCAAGAATGTTACAAAACATTCTAAAGAATGGGAGAATACAATGAAGTATCATTTCATTCCCTCTAGGATGGCTAAGATTAAAAAAAAAGAAAAAAAAAAAAACCAGAAAATAACAAATGTTGCAATGATGTGAGGAAATTGGAACTCTTATCCGTTGCTGGTGGGAATGCAAAATGGTAAAGCTATTGTGGAAAACAGTGTGGCGGTTCCTCAAAAGACTAAAAATACAACTAACATATGACTCAGCAATTCCACTCCTATGTATATACCCAGAAGACTTGAAAGCAGAGACTCAGAGACTTACACACCAATTTCATTGCAGCACTATTCACAATAGCCAAAAGGTGGAAACAACCTAAATGCGCATCAACTGATGAATGAATGAAGAAAATGTGGTACATACAATGGAAAAGTACTCGGGCAGTAGAAGAAATGAAGTCTTCACAACATGTTACAATATGGATGGAGCTTGAAAACATTATGCTGAGTGAAATAAGTCAACCACAAAAGGATAAATATTGCATGCCCTCATTTATATAAAAAGACAAAAAAAGGCAAATGTATAGAGATCAAAGTTTATTAATGGTTACCAGGGGTGTGATGGAGGGAAAAAGAGGAGGGTTAATGATGACAGAAAAGTTGCATTGATTAAGGGTAGGGTTGCACAGCCAGTTACTATAATTGCTGTTAATACGCTGCACACCTGTAAAAAGTTGAACTAGCAAAAGTTGTGTGATAGATATATTTACAACACCAACAAAAGAAAAAAAAAGAAGAGTAGCTGCTGACGCTACTTATGTACAACCAAAAACCTAATGGGATTTGGTTCCTTGGTCTGGAGGTTGAGGGTCATGGTTTCATGAGACATCCCAATTAATTGGCCTAATAACATGTTTGGTGCTTCTGTTCTGCATCCTATTCATTGGGTATACCTGGAGTCTTAAAAGCTTCCAAGCCATCCAAGACATGGCAATTAGTCTCTATTCGCCTGGAGTAACAGAGAAAGAATGAGTCAGGAATAGGAGGAGGATGTGGAATGTGTGGCTAATTGCCTCCATAAACAACTGCCTCCTTTGCCATAAAACCAGAAGAACTAGATGATGCCTGGTTACCATTACTGAATGTTTTGAGAAGAATCCTGATCAAAAGCGGGAAAATGCAGAACAGAATTTAAAATTCTCATGTACCCTAGACTTTCTGGAGCCAAGGAGGGTGGATGAAGCCCTGAAACTACTGTTCTAAGATAATCTTTGAAACTTAAACCAAAAATATTCCTCAAGGTCTTCTTAAAACCAACCAACAGTTTAGCTTAACTAGTAAAAAAGCTCTTCGTTGAGCGTTATGCTCTTTTAAGAACTATCTATATGGGATCAAAGAGACAAGAATAATTTGAAGGATAGGAATTTTAGGGGGGGACTGAGTTTATGTTAATGGGTAGGAACAATTCAGTAAAGGAGGGTAAAAATGTTTTCCCAATTTGAAGAATGTAATCAATGTTACTGAACTGTACGTGTAGAAATGGTTGAATTGCTGCATGTTTTCCTGTACATATTCTCAACAACAAAATAAATTTAAAAAATAAAAATGTTCCAAAAAAATGGGAGAAAATATTTGGAAATCATGTATCTGAAAAGTGTTTAATATCCAGAATATAAAGAACTCCTTTGATTCAACAACAAAAAGACAAAAAACCCAATTTAAAAAATGGGCAAAGGACTTGAATAGACATTTCTTCAAGATATACAAATGACCAATAAGTACACGAAAAGATGTTCAACATCATTAGTCATTAGGAAAATGCAAATCAAAAACACAATGAGATACCACTTCATACCCACTAGGGTGGCTGTTATTAAAAAAAAGAAAGAAAAACAAGAAATGTTGGCCAGGATGCGGAGAAATTGAAACCCTTATCATTGTTAGTAGGAATGTACAAAAGTGCAGCCATTGTGGAAAACAGTTTGGCACTTCTTCAAAAAGTTAAACATAGAATTACCATATAGCCCTACTTGACTATATTTCACTCCTGGGTATATACTCAAAAGAATGGAAAGAATTGAGAGCAGTGACTCAAAAAGATACTTGTGCACCAATGTTTACTGTAGCATTATTCACAAAAGCCAAAATATGAAAATAACTAAGTATCCATCAACAGATAAATGAATAAAAAATGGAATATACATACAATGTAATACTCTGTCATAAAAAGGAATGAAGTTCTAACATATGGTATGACATGGATGAACCCTGAAAACATTAGGCTAAGTGAAACAAGTCAGACAGAAAAGGACAAATATTGTATGATGACACTTATATGACATACCTAGAACAGGCAAACACATAGAAACAGAAAGTAGATTAGTGGTTACCATGAGCTGGGGGTAGGAGGTATGGGTACAGAGTTTCTGTTTGGGGTGATGAAAAAGTTTTGGAAAAAAATAGTGGTAATGGTTGCACAACATTGTGAATATAATTAATACCACTGAATTACACACATAAATCAAAACCAAGCCCGCTGCCGTTGAGTCGATTCCAACACATACAGACCCTATAGGACAGAGTAGAACTGTCCCACAGGGTCTCCAAGGAGCATCTGCTGGATTCGAACTGCCAACCTTTTGGTTAGCAGGCAAACTCTTAATCACTGTGCCACCAGGGCTCCTAGACACATTAAAAGTAGTTAAAACGGCAAATTTTATGTTATATACATTTTACCACGATAAAACTTTTTAAATGGATATTTACAACGATGACCCTGAAATACTGTAAGATAGACTACAGAATAATAAAACTGAGTATGAGTAATTATAAAAATGAAAAAGATATATTCCTGTTACTTTTTAATATTCATTTTATAAATTAATTATCCTATTAATTTCCTAATTTCATTAAATAAGGGACAACCACATCTATTTTTTTTTATGTCAATTAAAATATAATCCTACAGGCATTCAGTGGGTACCTCTCTACCCTTGGATTCAACTTAGCTCTGCATCCTACAATCCTGATATGCTACTTATTACAAAATCAGACTTTTAGGGTTCGAATGGACCTCTTCTCATCCATTTTAATGATAAAGCAACTAAGGTCCAGAGAGGTTTCGTAGCTTTTCCATTCACTAAAACTTAATGAATTCAGAATCAAAAGTGCCAGGTTCAAGTTCTAGCATTACCACTTATTATGCAATCTTGAATAATTTAACATTCATAATTCTCAATTTCCCTATTTGTAAAATTGGAATAGTATTACAGCAAAACCTCCAAAAGCCAGAACCTGTGTAAGACAGAAGTCTGTCAGAGAAGGAAAACTCAAATATTTTCCACTAGAACAAGCGATAGAAAAGTGGTAAGACTGCAACCAGTCAAAGGCAAAAAAACTTGTGAGACCCAGAAAAACAAGGGAGTCCTATTGAGTTCTGGCTCTCACAGATTTCACTGTATATCATTCACAAGGTTTTAATGGGATATGCCATAGATTATAGAGCACTGTTATGGATTGAATTGTGTCCCCCAACCATGATGAAAAATCCAAACCCACTGCCATCCAGTTGAAACTGACACAGAGCGACCCTACAGGACAGAGCAGAACTGCTCCATGGGGTTTCCAAGCCTGTAAATCTTTATGGAAGCAGATTACCACATCTTTCTCCCATGGCAGCTGGTGGGTTCAAACTACCAACCTTTTGGTTAGCAGCTGAGCACTTTAACCACTGTGCCACCAGGGCCCCCAACAATAGGTGTTGTAAGTCCTAACCTCTGTACCTGTGGAAGGAGTCCCTCGGTGGTGCAAACTGTTAAGTGCTCGACCACTAGCCGAAAAGATGGCAACTGGAACCCACCCAGAGGCACCTAGACAGACAGACCTGGCAATCTGCTTCCAAAAGGTCACAGCCTTGAAAACCCTATGGAGCAGTTTTATTCTAACACGTGGGGTTGCCGTGAGTCAGAATCTACTTGATGGCAACTAACAACAACATACCTGATGGATGTAATACCATTTGGGAATAGGGTTTTCTTTGTTATGTTAATAAAGCCGTATCTGAGTAGCCTGTGTTATAAGCCAATCACTTTTGAGATATAAAAGAGCATATTAGGTGCACAAGGAAGCACAAATGGGGAAAGACTGATGCCACATGGTGATCACCAAAGAACCTACGAAAAGGAACTGAAAGAGACAAAAATTTTCCCCCAGAGCAGACAGAGCCTTCTCCTAGAGACAGTGCCCTGGATCTGGATTTCTAGTCTCCTAAACTGAGAGAAAATAAATTTTTGTTCACTAAAGCCATCCATTTGTGGCATTTCTGTTACAGCAGCACTAAAAAACTAAGACAACCACCACATAACTATAATTATGTACATGACATAAAAAATTTGCACAAACCTTCTGAAGTTCATCAAGTAACAGATTTTTCACATGTTGTACTGAGGCTAAACGTGTATTCACTCTTACAGTTGTGAAGGATGGAGGGTGTGACAGGTGATTTAACAGAGTTTGAAACTTTCTTTCAGCTTCTTGTTTACCTAAAGAAGTTACAACCTGAAAAAAACAAGTTAATGTTTCGATTTTACTCTATAAATTTAACATATTAAGCAAATTACATTTATACATTTGTTTCATCTAATGAAACATCTTTCAGCATTTGTTCAGTTCCATTTCATTTTGTTGTACTGCCTGTGTTATTAAAACTAAGAGAATGGTAATTCTTGCGCAAAATTGGCCTAACAAAATGCCTTAACATAAAGGGCTTAGAAAAAATGTCTCAACTTCACATTATTAACGTTTTGAGTATATTAATATCTCCTACACTTATTAATGTAAATTCAGGATTTTATTCTACTTGTAATGCATTATTAACTGTTGCATCATTTCTGTATGACTATTTATTTGCTAACCTCATATCCTGGAGTGAATTGGCTAATAGCCTTCTAAACACCAATGTTTGAAGAATAAGTAATGCTGATACTCACTTTCATCCAAAGATCCCCCAGGGCATCATCTTTTTAATATGGTATTATTAAATGTAACCAAATAGATACAGTCCGAAAAGATGGGTAGCAAAGATACCTGTCAGAAATGAAGCTATAAAGACTCATGTAACCACGTTCCCTCATAATTAACTGAAGCTTTTCAAGAGACACATATGTGCCCCCTTTTTGTCATCTTTCACAATATCCTGCATGGCAGAATCTTCATGAACCACTTGCCATACTACTAATCCACCAGCCTACAAATGTTAGTACTTTCTCAAGGGTTAGTTTGATTTTATTAAAACTGAATATTCCTTTCCCTTTGATAACTTTTATAAAGGGATGGCTTTTCTTTTGCAGATCATAAAGTTGGCACAGGTAATGTCAAAAAAAAGATATTTGAATTTTCTTTTATAAAATTATGCTCATCATTTTAAAAATTGCTCAATGTCCTACGGCTCTTAATATGCTCCTAATATTTTAAATCTCTTGAAACCAAGAGATATTTTCTTTCTTCCACAGTTTCCTCCCTCAAATATATTTAAATCATTAACATAATCTTTGGAAATAAAATGTAGAAATCAAATCTAAAGGTCATGGCTTCAGTAACATCTTCAAAAATAAATAATGTTTAAGCAATTTTATTAGAAAACCAAAAATGTGAACAAAAGAAAGTTGCCTAGAGGCAGCGTGGTAAAATGGAAAAGAGCACAGGCTCTGCAATGGAAGAGAATCAACACTCACTAAAGACTTCAATACACACTGAGCACGGCCGTAGCAAACAATCAACATTGTTAAGGATTTACTATGAGCTAGGAACCGTGCCAGCGCTTCCACTTATGTTTAACACCCTAAAACAACCTTGTATTGTTAACCATTCCCATTTTTACAGAATAGGAAACAAGGGGCAGCGATGGGGACAAAACTTTTATCAAAAGATTGTAAAATGTAAATACCTGCAAATCACTTAGCACAACTGATGGCATTTAAAAGGCACTCAACAAACGATAGTATTCCTTCCACAAGAGTGCCAGAGCAAGCGATCTAAGAAGCAAGTGTATCTTCTTAACTGAACTTTAGTTCTCAAGGACTTATTTTTGCCACCCTTCAGTGCCATATCTACTGCCAAACACATGACCCATTTTTTTCCTTCTTTCTCGTTCCTGAGTGTTAAAAGTTATACCCTATTCACCTTTTATCTCACTAAGCATTACTTAATGAAATACCTGTATAAAGACACTAGGAGTCCCTGGGTGGTGCAAATGGAAAGGTTGGTGGTTCAAACCAACCCAGAGGTACTTCGAAATCGGTTCCTTTTTTACATTCTAATAGACAAATGTTAAAAAATAACGGCTGTAAAGATTACTTTTTAGATTGTTTTCTACTTCTCGAGAATGTAAATATTTGCATTTTTGCAAATCATCATTTAACATCTTTATTATCTGACCTACCTCCTTATTCATAAAGCCCTCCTTGAGATAGTTTTCAACCTCAGGTCTCAACGATATTTTAGGGAAAACAGACATTTTTCCTATTGTTTGTTTCCTCCAAGACAAATGCTGGAATGCTGTGGGTTTCTTTCCAAACTACAGCGAGCAGTGTCTTGACAAATAAATGGCCAACCACAAAGTGCCAGGACGACCAGAGAGGCCCAATAAAATATGCTGATCATGCGGAGTTAAATTTGGAAATGCGAAGGCACATCCACGCTTTCGAGCTTAGCCAGTTTTACAAGCTGCTTCCTGGCCTCCACCACACCGTCCTTCGTCCTCCTTTAGCGACGCTCACGGAAATCACTGTGAGCCAATGCCACTCACGTTGCAAAAGAGAACCAAATGAAAAGGCTTCACAAGCGAATCCGTAGAGAACTGGGCAGATAGTGAAAACCGACTCGGCACCGGCTCTCTCGGAAACTCAATCTCAGGCCCTAATTTCCAAACCGGCGCCCCAACTCCCCCGCAGGGATCTACTTCCGGAATGACTCACTTCCGGTATCCGGGGCACCACCCCCCCGTCTAGGTCCCCCAATCCGTAGCCGGAAATCGCCATGACGTCTTGTCTCCTGAGGTTCCGAAACCTGTGGGAGGTACACCTCCTAGTATAGGGCGGGAGGTGTGTGGGACCTTTACGTGGGAGAGGCGGCTGCAGGCGTGAGCTACAAGAACTAGCGATTGGGAGCGGAGGGGCGGGGTGGGTGTGAAACGGAAATAGTGTGGGTTGAGTCTAAGATATTACTGGCCTGAATGAGGTGAGCCGCCAAATTAGTGTCGTGCTGGGTGACTTCCAAGTAAACCATGAGGCCAAAGACTTTATCAGCCACCCTTTGATTTCATGATACATACAAATTTGATTTCATGATAGATACAATTCTGACTTACTTTGTGAATGAACAACACAGGCTTAAATCCGTCCCTGGCTTATCTAGAAAATTTAACTTTCCCACCTCTAGCTTGTCCAAACACTGAAAAAGAAGGATTTTCATGGTTCGTTTTAGAAAATTAAGGTGAAACTCCATCTCTCACTCTGAATATTTTTCCTCATCTGTAACATAGATTGTGCCAAGGCTCTCCCAAGCTCAGAGGCTGTCAGCCTTATAACTGTAAATATATCTGTAAGTTTTCCGTTTTACCTGCGTATTGGTGGCTATTAACGCCATTAACACAGCTTTCAAAAATATGAGTTGTGTTGTTCAGATTGCTTATAAATGATAAGGCTGCCTAAAGAAACTCGTGATTAGATTTGAAACATGAAGAGTCTAAGAACTAAGGTTAAAAAAAACAACTAAACCCGTTGCGTAGCTTCTGACTCATAGTGACCCTATAAGACAGAGTAAAACTGCCCCATAGGGTTTCCAGGGCTATAATCTTTAAGATTGCCACATCTTTCTCCCACAGAGCGGCTGATGGGTTCCAACTGCCCACTTTTCAGTTAACAGTTGAGCGTTTTAACCATTGCACCACCAGGTTTCCTTGGACTGAGGTTAGTAAGGAACAAACTACATAGGTTCTGGAAAAGAAAATGGTTGTGATTGATGAGTGTGGAGTTTAGCAGAATTCTTGGGAGATCCAGATCTTTGTAATGGTTAAGAATATGACCTTTGGTGCTAGGCTGCTGTAGTTCAAATTCCAGTTCTTGCACCTCAAGCAATAAGTTTTTTGGTACAGTTCCCTCAAGCAAATTACTTAAGCAATTCTCTCATCTGTTAACTGTACCAAAAAACTTAATTTGCTTGAGGTGCAAGAACTGGAAATTGATTAGTTTTACTAATAAAAAAAAATTGTTTTCAGTTTTAACAAGAACTAAAATAAGTTATTAACAAATATTTGATAGTAGTTTTTAATCCATGTGTAGAATGAATGGCTATAGAAGAGTGGAAGGTCATTCAGGTAGGAAAAACTAAAGGGACCCAAATTCTGATACGTCAAGGGCTGTCTTTTCTATAGATGTGGGAGTCTGCTTCTGTAGAGATTTACAGCCTTGGAAACCCTATGGGATCCTTATGAGTCAGAATCGACTCCACAGCAGTGGGTTTGGTTTTTTAACTTTTCTATCTAGAGGAGTGAAGATTTCAGGTGTTTAAATGAAGTGTCATGGAAATCTGTTTAAGAGTTTCCACCCTAAGGACTGTAGCAAACGAAGGTACAGCTGTTTCTAAACTACTTTTTAGAGAACATTTCCAGGGAGAGAACCTGCAAATTCAGGAAAATGGATAAGCTTCAAATCTCTCCTGTGATTGGACAATATACCATTGACTGAGTAAGGACAGAGAATCAGCAGAGCCCCTAAGGATTACATGTGTTCATATGAATGCTTTGAGCCATCTATCAGGGAGAAACGTGTCATATGTGAGAAAGCTGGTCATTTTGAGAGCTAAGTACAGAATTATGACCAAAGTTACAGAATTAAGAGCATTTTAAACTGGTAGATGTTTTGCAACTTAGGATAATATGGCTTCTCTTTATAACTATAAATAACTTCATCAGAGTTACCAACATACTCTTCCTCCAGACAAGGATATTAAATTACTTTTGTATACGTACTACGCCACCGGACTCCTTTTCCTCTTATGGGAGGTTAAAACTTGTCTTTAATATCAGCAAATTGCAGCAAATTACTTCACATCTAAGTCTCAAAGGGTCTTCGAACCACAGCATTGGGAGGACATCATAAACCATATACTTCTCTTTGTACAGGTAGTGAAACAGTTTGGAATGTTAAAAGGCCACGCTGCCAGGGTTAAAATCCTACAGCCTGACTTAAAAGTCTTTAGTCTTTTTAGTTAGGCTGGCTCCTTCAATTAAACTGGCTTCAAGGGCACTCTTGATTTCCTTTCATCCCAGGCTTTGAAGCTTTTGATTTTAATTTGTGAGAACATAACCATGGAAACGAAAATGAAATTGAAACGATGCAGAAAACTGGCTTAAATATACGCGTATTTGGGATGCATGGACATATGCAATCCTTGACAAAAATTTGGGGGTCTTAATCTATACGGTCGCTGAGTCCGAATCGACAACTCTGTGGCTACAGCCATTCCATGGCTCATCTCCCAACCAATTATATTTAGAATTAAGAATCAGGGTAGTACCCCAAAGCTGCCTGCCTACACAAGGTAACAGAAAGAGATAAGTTGTGAGAGAAACACTCCTCAATTCTCTGCAGCAAAAAAGCGCAAACAGTAGTTGCTCAGTTGGAGAAAGTACGGTCTTTCCCCGCCCTTAGCGACCAGGAATGCACTTGCCAGATAGCGGACTCAAGAAAGGGAAGCTCGCAAAGGCGTCTGAACACTAACACTACCAAAAGCGCTCACGGAGGTATCACCACCCGACCCTCTCCAACTCGCCAACCTTCCAGACGCCAGGCAATTTGGAGCCCGCCCACCGGAAGTGAAACCGGAGAAAGCGCCACGTGGAAAGCGTGAGCTGATGTAAGCGCGCCGACGTAAGGAGTCGTTCTTCCGGCGATGGGTGGTCCTGGGATCGGGAGGGGAGGCGGAGCGGAGGCGTGGCTTCGGCCTGGTTGCGGCCCTGTTGGGTAGGTGGGTTCAGACCGACGGGACTACGGGTCGGCGTTAGGTTCAGCAGTCTCGAAACAAAGGGCTATCCGGTAGGGACTCGGCGCAGTACCTGCTGACGGGTAGCTAAGTGGTTTGTCGAGGCGTCTGGGCCAGCCAGTGCTCTCGCCCCGGAATTCTCAATCGGCTTTCCCTCGGTTCCTCACAGCTAGCGGCGCGGTGGGGGCCCCGGCGCAGCGGCACCTGCTGCTGAGGGACCCCGCGGCCCGCCCAGGTGCTTATGATGGGGCTGATCTTCGCTAAACTGTGGAGCCTCTTCTGTAACCAAGGTGAGAAGGATGGAGCTGCGTAGCGGCTCGAATCCGAGCAAGCGGGTCCTTCTCCCGAAGGGTAACAGCCAGAGGAAGGGCTGTCGGTGGACAGAAGCGTTCTGAGACGCAGAGAAGTGACCTAGTCAAGGGATGGGTAGAAACTCTGTTTTAGAGTGCGAGAATATGCAGGGGAGACGTAATGTGTAGGAAAAGTGAGGAGTCTGAACTAAGAAATTTTGGATTTTGGCCAAGCAAAGCGGAAAACCCCTTAGAGGCATTTTCGAGGGCCTTTTGCGTCTTTAATTAATCATCTTTTGTCTGTATCTTGCCTCAGAATAAGTGTCCGCCCAGGAACCTTGTCAACTTTTTAAACTAGTGTTGCTTTGTTTTCCGCTCTGCCCCTAAGCCTTTGCGCCTTCACGGTCTCTTTGATTTCGTGGTCTCTTGACTTCTCGTGCTCTCTAGGACTTGGCGATGCGTTGTTTTGTTCAGATATACAGGTATCCAAAAATCTTCCTTCTAAACTCTTCATTCCCTTCTTAGATGTTAGAAAACTAAATGGTTTCGGTTCTGTGTGGGATATTACGTGTCCGTAATTAGTCTACAACAGGTTACTGAGATATCTAGAAGTGGCAAGTCAAAAGGGACAAGAAGTTGCAAAACCTGTTCTGAGTCAGGGAGAAGATGTGATGTCTTTTGACGAGATAAAAAAGCCACACCATCCTCCCTTCGGGAGCAAGGAGAATGAAGAGAACAGGATACGAGGAAAAGATTAGTCCGAAGGACTAATGGTCCACAGCTACCAAGGCCTCCACTGGACTGAGTCCAGTACAGCTAGATGGTGCCCGGCTACCACCA